TGATGGGGATCACGGAATTGCTCTGCATGCACTGCAGGGGAATCGGGCCACATCTGTCATCTAGGGGGAAGTCTCATGGTTTTTCTCGAGTTGCGGCGGGGACCTTTGCTATGTTATCGATTTAAGGCGGGGATGGCCCTTCAAAACACCTGTTTATTCAGTGAGGTCGGGACTCCTGTCTAGTAACGAGGGACAACTCAGGAATCTCTTCGAGGCTTGGCAGGCAACAAGGAACACTTCTCGAGGTGAGGCAGGGCACCCAAGGACCCTTTCCAGTAGCCACAGGGATTTTGGGATTCCTATCAATATTCAAGAGGAGTCAGGCATCGTCACCTTTTGAAGCAGTCAACTCTGCGTGCCTCTCGAGGTGTCAACGGGATGTGAGGCATTCCGTCAAAAGGAGGCAGGTACCTAGGGCTTTCTCTAAGGTCTCCACAGGGGATTCAGACATCCCTTCATCTTGTGAGATGAAAGACGAGCCTGTATTCAAGCCACTGCAAGGAAAGCCCTTCTCCTTTCTAGTTAGGGCTTCTAGCTGTATATTCCACTTTAGGCAGCAAACTCGGGGTCCCTCTGACATACCTAATCCTGAGAGAAGCCTCCCCTTGAGGTGCTTCTGTAAAGTTGGCATACGTCTTGAGCTTAAGCCAGGGAATCAGCTCTCATCTCGAGACGATTTCGGGTACACGGAGCATTCCTCGAGTTGCTGTGATGAAGTTAGTGTTCCTCTAGACTTGAGACAGTGTTCTCGGGGCATCTCTGGAGTTTCCTGAAGGAAGTCAAGCCACTGGACGTATTTAATGGGGAACGGGGGATGGCTCTGGAGTCCATGCAGGGGAATCGGGCTTCATCTCGAGTTGACTTGAGGCACATGGGGCTGCTTTGCGATGCTGGGTTGACCTCAGGGTTCGTCTAGACTTGTGACAGTGTTCTTCGGGACTGTGTCGAGATCCATTAAGCAAGTCAGAGCTTCTGACTTGTTTGATGGGGATCCCGGAATTGCTCTGCATGCACTGCAGGAGAATCGGGCCTCATCTCGCATCTAGGGGGAAGTCTCATGGTTTTTCTCGAGTTGCGGCGGGGACCTGGGGTATGTTCTCGAGTTAGGGCGGGGATGGCCCTTCAAAACACGTGTTTATTCAGTGATGTCAGGACTCCTGTCTAGTAAAGAGGGACACCTCAGGAATCTCTTCGAGGTTTGGCACGGCACAAGAGACGCCTCTCGGGGAGAGGCAGGGCACCCAAGGACCCCTTCAAGTAGCCACAGTGATTTTGGGATTAATATCAATATTCAAGAGGAGTCAGGCATCGTCACCTTTTGAAGCAGTGAACTCCGCGTGCCTGTGGAAGTGTCAACGGGATGTGAGGCTTTAGGTCAAAATGAGGCAGGGACCTCGGGCTTTCTCTAAGGACTCCACAGGGGATTCAGACATCCCTTCATGTTGTGAGATGAAAGACGAGCCTGTATTCAACTCAATGCAAGGAAACCCGGCCTCATTTCAAGTTAGGGCTTCTCGCTGTATATTCCACTTGAGGCAGCAAACTCGGGGTCCCTCCCACATACCTATTGCTGAGAGAAGCCTCCCCTTGAGGTGCTTCTGGAAAGTTGGCATACATCTTGAGCCTAAGCCAGGAAATCAGCTCTCATCTCGAGACGATTTGGGGTACACGGAGCATTCCTCGAGTTGCTGTGCTGAAGCTGGTCTTCCTATAGACTTGGGACAGTGATCCCAGGGCATCTCTGAAGTTTCCTGAAGGAAGTCAAGCCACTGGTCGTGTTTAATGGGGAATGGGGGTTGGCTCTGGAGTCAATGCAGGGGTATCAGGCCTCATCTCGAATTGATTTTGGGCACATGGAGCTGCTTTGCGTTCCTGGGGTGACCTCAGGGTACCTCTACACTTGTGACAGTGTTCTTGGTGACTCTCTCGAGATCTGTTAAGCAAGTCGAAGCTCCTGACTTGTTTGATGGCGATCATGGAATTGCTCTGCATGCACTGCAGGGGAATCGGGCCATACCTCACATCTAGGGAGAAGTCTCATGGTTTTTCTCGAGTTGCGGCGGGGATCTGGGGTATGTTCTCGAGTTACGGCGGGGAAGGCCCTTCAAAACACGTGTTTATTCAGTGACGTCAGGACTCCAGTCTATTAACGAGGGACACCTCAGGAATCTGTTCGAGGCTTGGCAGGCCACAAGGGACACTTATCGAGGTGAGTCAGGGCACCCAAAGACCCTTTCCATTAGCCACAGGGATTTTGGGATTCCTATCAATATTCAAGAGGAGTCAGGCATCGTCACCTTTTGAAGCAGTGAACTCCGCGTGCCTGTCGAAGTGTCAATGTGATATGAGGCATTCCGTCAAAAGGAGGCAGGTACCTAGGGCTTTCTCTAAGGTCTCCACAGGGGATTCAGACATCCCTTCATGTTGTGAGATGAAAGACGAGCCTGTATTCAAGCCACTGCAAAGAAACCCCGCCTCCTTTCTAGTTAGGGCTTCTAGCTGTATATTCCACTTGAGGCAGCAAACTCGGGGTCCCTACCACATACCTATTGCTTAAAGAATCCTCCCCTTGACGTGCTTCTGGAAAGTTGGCATACGTCTTGAGCCTATGCCAGGGAATCAGCTCTTATCTCGAGACGATTTAGGGTACTCGGAGCATTCCTCGAGTTCCTGTGCTGAAGTTGGTGTTCCTCTAGACTTGGGACAGTGTTCTCGGGGCATCTCTGGAGTTGCCTGAAGGAAGTCAAGCCACTGGTCGTGTTTAATGCGGAATGGCGGATGGCTCTGGAGTCAAGGCAGGGGAATCGGGCCTCATCTCGAGTTGATTTGGGGCACATGGAGCTGCTTTGCGTTGCAGGGTTGACCTCAAGGTCCGTCTAGACTTGAGACAGTGTTCTTGGGGACTGTCTCGAGATCCATTAAGCAAGTCGAAGCTCCTGACTTCTTTGATGGGGATCACGGAATTGCTCTGCGTGCACTGCAGGGGAATCGGGCCTCATCTCACATCTAGGGGGAAGTCTCATGGTTTTCCTCGATTTGCAGCGGGGACCTGCAGTATGTTCTCGAGTTACGGTGGGGATTGCCCTTCAAAACTCGTATTTATTCAGTGACGTCACGACTCCTGTCTAGTAACGACGGACATCTCAGTAAACTCTTTGAATACTGGCAGGGCACGAGGGACACTTCTCGAGGTGACGCAGTGCACCCAAGGACCCTTTCCAGTAGCCACAGAGATTTTGGGATTTCTACCAATATTCACGATGAGTCAGGCTACGTTACCTTTTGAAGCAGTGAACTCCGCGTGCCTCTCGAGGTGTCAACGTGATGTGAGGCATTCCGTCATAATGAGGCAGGGACCTAGGCCTTTCTCTAAGGTCTGCACAGGGGATTGAGACATCCCTTCATGTGGGGAGATGCAAGACTTGCTGTATTCAAGCCACTGCAAGGAAACCCGGCCTCCTTTCAAGTTAGGGCTTCTCGCTGTATATCGCACTTGAGGCAGCAAACTCGGGGTCCGTACCACATACTTATTGCTTAAAGAAGCCTCCCCTTGACGTGCTTCAGGAAAGTTGGCATACGTCTTGAGCCTAAGCCAGGGAATCAGCTCTCATCTTGAGACGATTGGGGTACATGGAGCATTCCTCGAGTTGCTGTGCTGAAATTGGTGTTCCTCTAGACTTGGAACAGTGTTTTCGGGGCATCTCTAGAGGTACCTGAAGGAAGTCAAGCCACTGGTCGTGTTGAATGTGGAACGGCGGATGGCTCTGGAGTCAATGCAGTGGAATCGGGCCTCACCTCGAGTTGATTTGTGGCACATGGAGCTACTTTGCGTTGCTGTGGTAACCTCAGGGTCCGTCTAGACTTGTGACAGTGTTCTTGGGAACTGTCTCGAGATCCATTAAGCAAGTCGAAGCTTCTGACTTGTTTGATGGGGATCACGGAATTGCTCTGCATGCCCTGCAGGTGAATCGGGCCTCGTCTCGCATCGAGGGGGAAGTCTCATGATTTTTCTCGAGTTGCGGCGGGGACCTGTGGTACGTTATCGAGTTATGGGGGGATGGCCCTTCAAAACACGTGTTTATTCAGTGACGTCAGAACTCCTATCTAGTAACCAGGGACACCTCAGAAATCGCTTCGAGGATGGCAGGCCACAAGGGACACTTTTCGAGGTAAGTCAGGCCACCCAAGGACCCTTTCCAGTAGCCACAGGGATTTTTGGATTCCTATCAATATTCAAGAGGAGTCAGGCATCGTCACCTTTGAAGCAGTGAACTCTGCGTGCCTCCCGAGGTGTCAACTTGATGTGAGGCATTCCGTCATAATGAGGCAGGGACCTAGGGCTATCTGTAAGGTCTCCGCAGGGGATTCAGACATCCCTTCATGTTGGGAGATGAAAGACGAGCCTGTATTCAAGCGACTGCAAGGAAACCCGGCCTCCTTTCAAGTTAGGGCTTCTCGCTGTATATCCCACTTGTGGCAGCAAACTCGGGGTCCCTACCACATACCTATTGCTTAAAGAAGCCTCCCCTTGAGGTGCTTCTGGAAAGTTGGCATACGTCTTGAGCCTAAACCAGGGAATCAGCTCTCATCTCGAGTCGATTTGGGGTACATGGAGCATTCCTCAAGTTGCTGTGCTGAAGATGGTGTTCCTCTAGACTTGGGACAGTGTTCTCGGGGCATCTCTGGAGTTGCCTAAAGGAAGTCAAGCCACTGGTCTTGTTTAATGAGGAATGGGGGAAGGCTCTGGGGTCAAGGCAGGGGAATCGGGCCTCATCTCCAGTTGATTTGTGGCACATGGAGCTGCTTTGCGTTGCAGGGGTGACCTCAGGGTCCGTCTAGACTTGTGACAGTGTTCTTGGGCACTCTCTCGAGATCCATTAAGCAAGTCGAAGCTCCGGACTTGATTGGTGGGGATCACGGAATTGCTCTGCGTGCACTGCAGGGGAATCGGACCTCATCTCACATCTAGGGGGAAGTCTCATGTTTTTTTTCGATTTGAGGCGGGGACCTGCGGTATGTTCTCGAGTTACGGCGGGGATTGCCCTTCAAAACTCGTGTTTATTCAGTGACGTCAGGACTCCTGTCTAGTAATGAGGGACACCTCAGTAATCTCTTCGAGGACTGGCTGGGCACGAGGTACGCTTCTCGAGGTGAGCCAGTGTACCCAAGGACCTTTTCCAGGAGCCACAGAGATTTTGGGATTTCTACCAATATTCACGATGAGTCAGGCTATGTTACCTTTTGAAGCAGTGAACTCCACGTGCCTCTCGAGGTGTCAATGGAATGTGAGGCATTCCGTCATAATGAGGCAGGTACCTAGGGCTTTCTCTAAGGTCTCCCCAGGGGATTCAGACATCCCTTCATGTTGGGAGATGAAAGACGAGCTGTATTCAAGCCACTTCAAGGAAACCCGGCCTCCTTTCAAGTTAGGGCTTCTCGCTGTATATCCCACATGGGGCAGCAAACTCGGCGTCCTTACCACATAGCTTTTGCTTAAAGAGCCTCCCCTTGAGGTGCTTCTGGAAAGTTGGCATACGTCTTTACCCAAAGCCACGGAATCAGCTCTCAACTCTAGATGATTTGGGGTACACGGAGCATTCCTCGAGTTGCTGTGCTGAAGTTGATGTTCCTCTAGTCTTGTTACAGTGTTCTCGGGGCATCTCTGGAGGTGCCTGAAGGAAGTCAAGCCACTGGTCGTGTTGAATGGGGAATGGCGGTTGGCTCTGGAGTCAATGCAGTGGAATCGGGCCTCACCTCGAGTTGATTTGTGGCACATGGATCTACTTTGCGTTGCTGTGGTGACCTCAGGGTCCATCTAGACTTGTGACAGTGTTTTTGGGGACTCTCTCGAAATCCATTAAAGAATTCGAATCTCCAGACTTGTTTGATGGGGATCACGGAATTGCTCTGCATGCACTGCAGGGGAATCGAGCCTCATCTCGCATCTATGGGGAAGTCTCATGGTTTTTCTCGAGTTGCAGCGGGGATATGCGGTATGTTCTCGAGTTAGGGCGGGGATGGCCCTTCAAATCACATGTTTATTCAGTGACGTCAGGACTCCTTTCTAGAAACGTGGGACCACTCAGGAATCTCTTCGAGGCTTGGCAGGGCACAAGGGACGCTTCTCGAGGTGAGGAAGGGCTCTCAAGGACCCTTTCCAATAGCCACAGGGATTTTTGGATTCCTATCAATATTCAAGAGGAGACAGGCATCATCACCTTTTGAAGCAGTGAACTCTGCGTGCCTCCCGAGTTGTCAACTTGATGTGAGGCATTCCGTCATAATGAGGCAGGGACCTAGGGCTATCTGTAAGTTCTCCACAGGGATTCAGACATCCCTTCATGTTGGGAGATGAAAGACGAGCCTGTATTCAAGCCACTGCAAGGAAACCCGGCCTCCTTTCAAGTTAGGGCTTCTCGCTGTATATCCCAGTTGAGGCAGCAAACTCGGGACCCGTACCACATATCTATTGCTTAAAGAAGCCTCCCCTTGAGGTGCGTCTGGAAAGTTGGCATACGTCTTGAGCCTAAGCCAGGGAATCAGTTCTCATCTCGAGTCGATTTGGGGTACATGGAGCATTCCTCGAGTTGCTGTGCTGAAGATGGTGTTCCTCTAGACTTGGGACAGTGTTCTCGGGGCATCTCTGGAGTTGCCTGAAGGAAGTCAAGCCACTGGTCGTGTTTAATGGGGAACGGGGGAAGGCTCTGGGGTCAATGCAGTGGAATCGGGCCTCACCTCAACTTGATTTGTGGCACATGGAGCTACTTTGCGTTGCTGTGGTAACCTCAGGGTCCATCTAGACTTGTGACAGTGTTCTTGGGGACTCTCTCGAAATCCATTAAGGAATTCGAATCTCCAGACTTGTTTGATGGGGTTCATGGAATTGCTCTGCATGCACTGCAGGGGAATCGAGCCTCATCTCGCATCTCTGGGGAAGTCTCATGGTTTTTCTCGAGTTGCGGCGGGGATATGCGGTATGTTCTCGAGTGAGGGCGGGGATGGCCCTTCAAATCACATGTTTATTCAGTGACGTCAGGACTCCTTTCTAGTAACTTGGGATAACTCAGGAATCTCTTCGAGGCTTGGCAGGGCACAAGGGACTCTTCTCGAGGTGAGGAAGGGCTCCCAAGGACACTTTCCAGTAGCCACAGGGATTTTGGGATTCCTATCAATATTCAAGAGGAGTCAGGCATCGTCACCTTTTGAAGCAGTGAACTCAGCGTGCCTCCCGAGGTGTCAACTTGATGTGAGGCATTCCGTCATAATGAGGCAGTGACCTAGGGCTATCTGTAAGGTCTCCACAGGGGATTCAGAAATCCTTTCATGTTGGGAGATGAAAGACGAGCCTGTATTCAAGCGACTGCAAGGAAACCCGGCCTCCTTTCAAGTTAGGGATTCTCGCTGTATATCCCACTTGAGGCAGCAAACTCGGGGTCCCTACCACATACCTATTGCTTAAAGAAGCCTCCCATTGAGGGGCTTCTGGAAAGTTGGCATACGTCTTGATCCTAAGCCAGGGAATCAGCTCTCATCTCGAGACGATTTGGGGTACATGGAGCATTCCTCGAGTTGCTGTGCTGAAGTTGGTGTTCCTCTAGACTTGGGACAGTGTTCTCGGGGCATCTCTGGAGTTGCCTGAAGGAAGTCAAGCCACTGGTCGTGTTTAATGGGGAACGGCGGATGGCTCTGGAGTCAACGCAGGGGAATCGGGCCTCATCTCGAGTTGATTTGGGGCACATGGAGCTGCTTTGCGTTGCAGGGGTGAACTCAGGTTGCGTCTAGACTTGTGACAGTGTTCTTGGGGACTGTCTCGAGATCCATTAAGCAAGTCGAAGCTCCTGACATGTTTGATGGGGATCACGGAATTGCTCTGCGTACACTGCAGGGGAATCGGGCCTCATCTCACATCTAGGGGGAAGTCTCATGGTTTTCCTCGATTTGCAGCGGGGACCTGCAGTATGTTCTCGAGTTACAGTGGGGATTGCCCTTCAAAACTCGTGTTTATTCAGTGATGTCAGGACTCCTGTCTAATAACGAGGGATACCTCAGTAATCTCTTTGAGTACTGGCAGGGCACGAGGGACACTTCTCGAGGTGATGCAGTGCACCCAAGGACCCTTTCCAGTAGCTACAGATATTTTGGGATTTCTACCAATATTCACGATGAGTCAGGCTACGTTACCTTTTGAAGCAGTGAACTCCGCGTGAATCTCGAGGTGTCAACAGGATGTGAGGCATTCCGTCATAATGAGGCAGGGACCTAGGGCTATCTGTAAGGTCTCCGCAGGGGATTCAGACATCCCTTCCTGTTGGGAGATGCAAGACGAGCTGTATTCAAGCCACTTCAAGGAAACCCGGCCTCCTTTCAAGTTAGGGCTTCTCCCTGTATATCCCACTTGAGGCAGCAAACTCAGGGTCCCTACCACATACTTATAGCTTAAAGAAGCCTCCCCTTGAGGTGCTTCTGGAAAGTTGGCATACTTCTTGAGCCTAAGCAAGGGAATCAGCTCTCATCTCGAGACGATTTGTGGTACATGGAGAATTCCTCGAGTTGCTGTGCTGAAGTTGGTGTTCCTCTAGACTTGGGACAGTGTTCTCGGGGCATCTCTGGAGTTGCCTGAAGGAAGTCAAGCCACTGGTCGTGTTTAATGGGGAACGGCGGATGGCTCTGGAGTCAACGCAGGGGAATCAGGCCTCACCTCGAATTGATTTATGGCACATGGAGCTACTTTGCGTTGCTGTGGTAACCTCAGGGTCCGTCTAGACTTGTGACAGTGTTCTTGGGGACTGTCTCGAGATCCGTTAAGCAAGTCGAAGCTTCTGACTTGTTTGATGGGGATCACGGAATTGCTCTGCATGCCCTGCAGGGGAATCGGGCCTCATCTCACAACTAGGGGGAAGTCTCATGGTTTTTCTGGAGTTGCAGCGGGGACCTGTAGTAGGTTATCGAGTTACGGGGGGATGGCCCTTCAAAACACGTGTTTATTCAGTGACGTAAGGACTCCTATCTAGTAATGAGGGACACCTCAGGAATCTCTTCGAGCCTTGGCAGGCCACAGGACCCTTTTCGAGGTGAGTCAGGCCACCCAAGGACCCTTTCCAGTAGCCACAGGTATTTTGGTATTCCTATCAATATTCAAGAGTAGTCAGGCATCCTCACCTTTTGAAGCAGTGAACTCTGCGTGCCTCTCGAGGTGTAAACGGGATGTGAGGCTTTCCGTCAAAATGAGGCAGGGACCTAGGGCTTTCTGTAAGGTCTCCACAGGGGATTCAGAAATCCCTTCATGTTGGGAGATGAAAGATGAGCCTGTATTCAAGCCACTGCAAGGAAACCCGGTCTCCTTTCAAGTTAGGGCTTCTCGCTGTATATTCCACTTGAGTCAGCAAACTCGGGGTCCCTCCCACATACATATTGCTGAGAGAAGCCTCCCATTGAGGTGCTTCCGGAAAGTTGGCATACTTCTTGACCCAAAGCCATGGAATCCGCTCTCATCTTGAGACGATTTGGGTTACACAGAGCATTCCTCGAGTTGCTGGGCTGAAGTTGGTGTTCCTCTAGACTTGGGACAGTGTTCTCGGGGCATCTTTGGAGTTACCTAAAGGAAGTCAAGACACTGGTCTTGTATAATGAGGAACGGGGGAAGGCTCTGGGGTCAACCCAGGGGAATCGGGCCTCATCTCGAGTTGATTTGGGGCACATGGAGCTGCTCTGCGTTGCAGGGGTGACCTCAGTGTCCGTCTAGAATTGTGACAGTGTTCTTGGGGACTCTCTCGAGATCCATTAAGCAAGTCTAAGCTCGTGACTCGATTGATGGGGATCACGGAATTGCTCTGCCTGCACTGCAGGGGAATCGGGCCTCATCTCACATCTAGGGGGAAGTCTCATGGTTGTTTTCGATGTGGGGGGGACCTGCGGTATGTTCTCGAGTTACGGCGGGGATTGCCCTTCAAAACTCGTGTTTATTCAGTGACGTCAGGACTCCTGTCTAGTAACGAGGGACACCTCAGTAATCTCTTTGAGGACTGGCAGGGCACGAGGGACGCTTCTCGAGGTGAGCAGTGCACCCAAGGGCCTTTCCCAGTAGCCACAGAGATTTTGGGATTTCTACCAATATTCACCATGAGTCAGGCTACGTTAACTTTTGAAGCAGTGAACTCTGCGTGCCTCTCGAGGTGTCAACGGAATGTGAGGCATTCCGTCATAATGAGGCAGGTACCTAGGGCTTTCTCTAAGGTCTCCACAGGGGATTCAGACATCCCTTCATGTTGGGAGATGAAAGACGAGCTGTATTCAAGCCAATTCAAGGAAACCCGGCCTCCTTTCAAGTTAGGGCTTCTCGCTGTATATCCCACTTGGGGCAGCAAACTCGGGGTCCCTACCACATACCTTTTGCTTAAAGAAGCCTCCCCTTGAGGTGCTTCTGGAAAGTTTGCATACGTCTTGAGCCTAAGCCATGGAATCAGCTCTCATCTCGAGACGATTTGGGGTACATGGAGCATTCCTCGAGTTGCTGTGCTGAAGTTGGTGTTCCTCTAGACTTGGGACAGTGTTCCCGGGGCATCTCTGGAGGTGCCTGAAGGGATTCAAGCCACTGGTCGTGTTGAATGGGGAACGGAGAATAGCTCTGGAGTCAATGCAGTGGAATCGGGCCTCACCTCAAGTTGATTTGTGGCACATGGAGCTACTTTTCGTTGCTGTTGTAACCTCAGGGTCCATCTAAACTTGTGACAGTGTTCTTGGGGACTCTGTCGAAATCCATTAAGGAATTCGAATCTCCAGACTTGTTTGATGGGGATCACGGAATTGCTCTGCATGCACTGCAGGAGAATCGAGCCTCATCTCGCATCTATGGGGAAGTCTCATGGTTTTTCTCGAGTTGCAGCGGGGATATGCGGTATGTTCTCGAGTTAGGGCGGGGATGACCCTTCAAATCACATGTTTATTCAGTGACGTCAGGACTCCTGTCTAGTAACGTGGGACAACTCAGGAATCTCTTTGAGGCTTGGCAGGGCACAAGGTACGCTTCTCCAGGTGAGGTAGTGCTCCCAAGGACCCTTTCCAGTAGCCACAGGGATTTTTGGATTCCTATCAACATTCAAGAGGAGTCAGGCATCGTCACATTTTGTAGCAGTGAACTCTGCGTGCCTCCCGAGGTGTCAACTTGATGTGAGGCATTCCATCATAATGAGGCAGGGACCTAGGGCTATCTGTAAGGTCTCCGCAGGGGATTAAGACATCCCTTCATGTTGGGAGATGAAAGACGAGCCTGTATTCAAGCCACTGCAAGGAAACCCGGCCTCCTTTCAAGTTAGGGCTTCTCGCTGTATATCCCACTTGAGGCAGCAAAATCGGGGTCCCTACCACATACCTATTGCTTAAAGAAGCCTCCCCTTGAGGTGCTTCTGGAAAGTTGGCATACGTCTTGAGCCTAAGCAAGTGAATCAGCTCTCATCTCGAGACGATTTGGGGTACATGGAGCATTCCTCGAGTTGCTGTGCTGAAGTTGGTGTTCCTCTAGACTTGGGACAGTGTTCTCGGGGCATCTCTGGAGTTGCCTGAAGGAAGTCAAGCCACTGGTCATGTTTAATGGGGAACGGCGGATGGCTCTGGAGTCAACGCAGGGGAATCAGGCCTCATCTCGAGTGGATTTGGGGCACATGGAGCTGCTTTGCGTTGCAGGGGTGACCTCAGGTTGCATCTAGACTTGTGACAGTGTTCTTGGGGACTGTCTCGAGATCCATTAAGCAAGTCGAAGCTCCTGATTTGTTTGATGGGGATCACGGAATTGCTCTGCGTGCACTGCAGGGGAATCGGGCCTCATCTCACATCTAGGGGGAAGTCTCATGGTTTTCCTCGATTTGCAGCGGGGACCTGCAATATGTTCTCGAGTTAAGGTGGGGATTGCCCTTCAAAACTCGTATTTATTCAGTGACGTCAGGACTCCTGTCTAGTAAAGAGGGACATCTCAGTAATCTCTTTGAGTACTGGCAGGGCACGAGGGACACTTCTCGAGGTGACGCAGTGCACCCAATGACCCTTTCCAGTAGCCACAGAGATTTTGGAATTTCTACCAATATTCACGATGAGTCAGGCTACGTTACCTTTTGAAGCAGTGAACTCCGCGTGCCTCTCGAGGTGTCAACGGGATCTGAGGCATTCCGTCATAATGAGGCAGGGACCTAGGGCTTACTCTAAGTTCTCCACAGGGGATTCAGACATCCCTTCATGTTGGGAGATGCAAGACGAGCAGTATTCAAGCCACTGCAAGGAAACGCCGCCTCCTTTAAGTTAGGGCTTCTCGCTGTATAATCCACTTGAGGCAGCAAACTCGGGGTCCCTACCACATACTTATTGCTTAAAGAAGCCTCCCCTTGAGGTGCTTCTGGAAAGTTGGCATACGTCTTGAGCCTAAGCCAGGGAATCAGCTCTCATCTCGAGACGATTTGGGGTACATGGAGCATTCCTCGAGTTGCTGTGCTGAAGTTGGTGTTCCTCTAGACTTGGGACAGTGTTCTCGGGGCATCTCTGGAGTTGCCTGAAGGAAGTCAAACCACTGGTCATGTTTAATGGGGAACAGCAGATGGCTCTGGAGTCAACGCAGGGGAATCGGGCCTCATCTCGAGTTGATTTGGGGCACATGGAGCTGCTTTGCGTTGCAGGGGTGACCTCAGGTTGCGTCTAGACTTGTGACAGTGTTCTTGGGGACTTTCTCGAGATCCATTAAGCAAGTCGAAGCTCCTGACTTGTTAGATGGGGATCACGGAATTGCTCTGCGTGCACTGCAGGGGATTCGGGCCTCATCTCACATCTAGGGGGAAGTCTCATGGTTTTCCTCGATTTGCAGCGGGGACCTGCAATATGTTCTCGAGTTACGGTGGCGATTGCCCTTCAAAACTCGTAGTTATTCAGTGACGTCAGGACTCCTGTCTAGTAACGAGGGACATCTCAGTAATCTCTTTGAGTACTGGCAGGGCACGAGGGACACTTCTCGAGGTGACGCAGTGCACCCAATGACCCTTTCCAGTAGCCACAGAGATTTTGGGATTTCTACCAATATTCACGATGAGTCAGGCTACGTTACCTTTTGAAGCAGTGAACTCCGCGTGCCTCTCGAGGTGTCAACGGGATCTGAGGCATTCCGTCATAATGAGGCAGGGACCTAGGGCTTACTCTAAGGTCTCCACAGGGGATTCAGACATCCCTTCATGTTGGGAGATGCAAGACGAGCAGTATTCAAGCCACTGCAAGGAAACGCCGCCTCCTTTAAGTTAGGGCTTCTCGCTGTATAATCCACTTGAGGCAGCAAACTCGGGGTCCCTACCACATACTTATTGCTTAAAGAAGCCTCCCCTTGAGGTGCTTCTGGAAAGTTGGCATACGTCTTGAGCCTAAACTAGGGAATCAGATCTCATCTCGAGACGATTTGGGGTACATGGAACATTCCTCGAGTTGCTGTGCTGAAGTTAGTGTTCCTCTAGACTTGGGACAGTGTTCTCGGGGCATCTCTGGAGGTGCCTGAAGGAAGTCAAGAAACTGGTCGTTTTGAATGGGGAACGGCGGATGGCTCTGGAGTCAATGCAGTGGAATCAGGCCTCACCTCGAGTTGATTTGTGGCACATGGAGCTAGTTTGCGTTGCTGTAGTAACCTCAGGGTCCGTCTAGACTTGTGACAGTGTTCTTGGGGACTGTCTCGAGATCCATTAAGCAAGTCGAAGCTTCTGACTTGTTTGATGGGGATCATGAAATTGCTCTGCATGCCCTGCAGGGGAATCGGGCCTCATCTCACATCTAGGGGGAAGTCTCATGGTTTTTCTCGAGTTGCGGCGGGGACCTGTGGTATGTTATCGAGTTACAGGGGGATGGCCCTTCAAAACATGTGTTTATTCAGTGACGTAAGGACTCCTATCTAGTAACGAGGGACACTTCAGGAATCTCTTTGAGGCTTGGCAGGCCACAAGGGACACTTTTCGAGGTGAGTCAGGCCACCCAAGGACCCTTTCCAGTAGCCACATGGATTTTGGGATTCCTATCAATATTCAAGAGTAGTCAGGCATCGTCACCTTTTGAAGCAGTGAACTCTGCGTGCCTCTCGAGGTGTCAACGGGATATGAGGCTTTCCGTCAAATGAGGCAGGGACCTAGGGCTTTCTCTAAGGTATCCACAGGGGATTCAGACATCCCTTCATGTTGTGAGATGAAAGACGAGCCTGTATTCAAGCCACTGCAAGGAAATCCGGCCTCCTTTCAAGTTAGGGCTTCTCGCTGTATATTCCCCTTGAGGCAGCAAACTCGGGGTCCCTCCCACATACCTATTGCTGAGAGAAGCCTCCTCCTGAGGTGCTTCTGGGAAGTTGGCATACGTCTTGAGCCTAAGCCAGGGAATCAGCTCGCATCTCGAGACGATTTGGGGTAGACGGAGCGTTCCTCGAGTTGCTCTGCTGAGGTTGGTGTTCTTCTAGATTTGAGACGGTGTTCTCGGGGCATCTCTGGAGTTGCCTAAAGAAGTCAAGCCACTGGTCGTGTTTAATGGGGAACGGTAGATTGCTCTGGAGTCAATGCAGGGGAATCGGGCCTCATCTCGAGTTGATTTGGGGTACATGGAGCTGCTTTGCATTGCTGGGTTGACATCAGGGATCGTCTAGACTTGTGACAGTGTTCTTCGGGACTGTCTCAAGATCCATTAAGCATTTCGAACCTCCTGACTTGTTTGATGGGGATCACGGAATTGCTCTGCATGCACTGCAGGGGAATCGGGCCACATCTGTCATCTAGGGGGAAGTCTCATGGTTTTTCTCGAGTTGCGGCGGGGACCTTTGCTATGTTATCGATTTAAGGCGGGGATGGCCCTTCAAAACACCTGTTTATTCAGTGAGGTCGAGACTCCTGTCTAGTAACGAGGGACAACTCAGGAATCTCTTCGAGGCTTGGCAGGCAACAAGGAACACTTCTCGAGGTGAGGCAGGGCACCCAAGGACCCTTTCCAGTAGCCACAGGGATTTTGGGATTCCTATCAATATTCAAGAGGAGTCAGGCATCGTCACCTTTTGAAGCAGTCAACTCTGCGTGCCTCTCGAGGTGTCAAGGGGATGTGAGGCATTCCGTCAAAAGGAGGCAGGTACCTAGGGCTTTCTCTAAGGTCTCCACAGGGGATTCAGACATCCCTTCATGTTGTGAGATGAAAGACGAGCCTGTATTCAAGCCACTGCAAGGAAAGCCCTTCTCCTTTCTAGTTAGGGCTTCTAGCTGTATATTCCACTTGAGGCAGCAAACTCGGGGTCCCTCCCACATACATATTGCTGAGAGAAGCCTCCCCTTGAGGTGCTTCCGGAAAGTTGGCATACGTCTTGACCCAAAGCCATGGAATCAGCTCTCATCTTGAGACGATTTGGGTTACACAGAGCATTCCTCGAGTTGCTGTGCTGAAGTTGGTGTTCCTCTAGACTTGGGACAGTGTTCTCGGGGCATCTTTGGAGTTACCTAAAGGAAGTCAAGACACTGGTCTTGTATAATGAGGAATGGGCGAAGGCTCTGGGGTCAACCCAGGGGAATCGGGCCTCATCTCGAGTTGATTTGGGGCACATGGAGCTGCTCTGCGTTGCAGGGGTGACCTCAGTGTCCGTCTAGAATTGTGACAGTGTTCTTGGGGACTCTCTCGAGATCCATTAAGCAAGTCTAAGCTCGTGACTCGATTGATGGGGATCACGGAATTGCTCTGCCTGCACTGCAGGGGAATCGGGCCTCATCTCACATCTAGGGGGAAGTCTCATGGTTTTTTTCGATGTGGCGGGGACCTGCGGTATGTTCTCGAGTTACGGCGGGGATTGCCCTTCAAAACTCGTGTTTATTCAGTGACGTCAGGACTCCTGTCTAGTAACGAGGGTCACCTCAGTAATCTCTTTGAGGACTGGCAGGGCACGAGGGACGCTTCTCGAGGTGAGCAGTGCACCCAAGGGCCTTTCCCAGTAGCCACAGAGATTTTGGGATTTCTACCAATATTCACCATGAGTCAGGCTACGTTAACTTTTGAAGCAGTGAACTCTGCGTGCCTCTCGAGGTGTCAACGGAATGTGAGGCATTCCGTCATAATGAGGCAGGTACCTAGGGCTTTCTCTAAGGTCTCCACAGGGGATTCAGACATCCCTTCATGTTGGGAGATGAAAGACGAGCTGTATTCAAGCCAATTCAAGGAAACCCGGCCTCCTTTCAAGTTAGGGCTTCTCGCTGTATATCCCACTTGGGGCAGCAAACTCGGGGTCCCTACCACATACCTTTTGCTTAAAGAAGCCTCCCCTTGAGGTGCTTCTGGAAAGTTTGCATACGTCTTGAGCCTAAGCCATGGAATCAGCTCTCATCTCGAGACGATTTGGGGTACATGGAGCATTCCTCGAGTTGCTGTGCTGAAGTTGGTGTTCCTCTAGACTTGGGACAGTGTTCCCGGGGCATCTCTGGAGGTGCCTGAAGGGATTCAAGCCACTGGTCGTGTTGAATGGGGAACGGGGAATAGCTCTGGAGTCAATGCAGTGGAATCGGGCCTCACCTCAAGTTGATTTGTGGCACATGGAGCTACTTTTCGTTGCTGTTGTAACCTCAGGGTCCATCTAAACTTGTGACAGTGTTCTTGGGGACTCTGTCGAAATCCATTAAGGAATTCGAATCTCCAGACTTGTTTGATGGGGATCACGGAATTGCTCTGCATGCACTGCAGGAGAATCGAGCCTCATCTCGCATCTATGGGGAAGTCTCATGGTTTTTCTCGAGTTGCAGCGGGGATATGCGGTATGTTCTCGAGTTAGGGCGGGGATGACCCTTCAAATCACATGTTTATTCAGTGACGTCAGGACTCCTGTCTAGTAACGTGGGACAACTCAGGAATCTCTTTGAGGCTTGGCAGGGCACAAGGTACGCTTCTCCAGGTGAGGTAGTGCTCCCAAGGACCCTTTCCAGTAGCCACAGGGATTTTTGGATTCCTATCAATATTCAAGAGGAGTCAGGCATCGTCACATTTTGTAGCAGTGAACTCTGCGTGCCTCGCGAGGTGTCAACTTGATGTGAGGCATTCCATCATAATGAGGCAGGGACCAAGGGCTATCTGTAAGGTCTCTGCAGGGGATTAAGACATCCCTTCATGTTGGGAGATGAAAGACGAGCCTGTATTCAAGCCACTGCAAGGAAACCCGGCCTCCTTTCAAGTTAGGGCTTCTCGCTGTATATCCCACTTGAGGCAGCAAAATCGGGGTCCCTACCACATACCTATTGCTTAAAGAAGCCTCCCCTTGAGGTGCTTCTGGAAAGTTGGCATACGTCTTGAGCCTAAGCAAGGGAATCAGCTCTCATCTCTAGACGATTTGGGGTACATGGAGCATTCCTCGAGTTGCTGTGCTGAAGTTGGTGTTCCTCTAGACTTGGGACAGTGTTCTCGGGGCATCTCTGGAGTTGCCTGAAGGAAGTCAAGCCACTGGTCATGTTTAATGGGGAACGGCGGATGGCTCTGGAGTCAACGCAGGGGAATCAGGCCTCATCTCGAGTGGATTTGGGGCACATGGAGCTGCTTTGCGTTGCAGGGGTGACCTCAGGTTGCATCTAGACTTGTGACAGTGTTCTTGGGGACTGTCTCGAGATCCATTAAGCAAGTCGAAGCTCCTGATTTGTTTGATGGGGATCACAGAATTGCTCTGCGTGCACTGCAGGGGAATCGGGCCTCATCTCACATCTAGGGGGAAGTCTCATGGTTTTCCTCGATTTGCAGCGGGGACCTGCAATATGTTCTCGAGTTAAGGTGGGGATTGCCCTTCAAAACTCGTATTTATTCAGTGACGTCAGGACTCCTGTCTAGTAAAGAGGGACATCTCAGTAATCTCTTTGAGTACTGGCAGGGCACGAGGGACACTTCTCGAGGTGACGCAGTGCACCCAATGACCCTTTCCAGTAGCCACAGAGATTTTGGGATTTCTACCAATATTCACGATGAGTCAGGCTACGTTACCTTTTGAAGCAGTGAACTCCGCGTGCCTCTCGAGGTGTCAACGGGATCTGAGGCATTCCGTCATAATGAGGCAGGGACCTAGGGCTTACTCTAAGGTCTCCACAGGGGATTCAGACATCCCTTCATGTTGGGAGATGCAAGACGAGCAGTATTCAAGCCACTGCAAGGAAACGCCGCCTCCTTTAAGTTAGGGCTTCTCGCTGTATAATCCACTTGAGGCAGCAAACTCGGGGTCCCTACCACATACTTATTGCTTAAAGAAGCCTCCCCTTGAGGTGCTTCTGGAAAGTTGGCATACGTCTTGAGCCTAAGCCAGGGAATCAGCTCTCATCTCGAGACGATTTGGGGTACATGGAGCATTCCTCGAGTTGCTGTGCTGAAGTTGGTGTTCCTCTAGACTTGGGACAGTGTTCTCGGGGCATCTCTGGAGTTGCCTGAAGGAAGTCAAGCCACTGGTCATGTTTAATGGGGAACAGCAGATGGCTCTGGAGTCAACGCAGGGGAATCGGGCCTCATCTCGAGTTGATTTGGGGCACATGGAGCTGCTTTGCGTTGCAGGGGTGCCCTCAGGTTGCGTCTAGACTTGTGACAGTGTTCTTGGGGACTGTCTCGAGATCCATTAAGCAAGTCGAAGCTCCTGACTTGTTAGATGGGGATCACGGAATTGCTCTGCGTGCACTGCAGGGGAATCGGGCCTCATCTCACATCTAGGGGGAAGTCTCATGGTTTTCCTCGATTTGCAGCGGGGACCTGCAATATGTTCTCGAGTTACGGTGGGGATTGCCCTTCAAAACTCGTAGTTATTCAGTGACGTCAGGACTCCTGTCTAGTAACGAGGGACATCTCAGTAATCTCTTTGAGTACTGGCAGGGCACGAGGAACACTTCTCGAGGTGACGCAGTGCACCCAATGACCCTTTCCAGTAGCCACAGAGATTTTGGGATTTCTACCAATATTCACGATGAGTCAGGCTACGTTACCTTTTGAAGCAGTGAACTCCGCGTGCCTCTCGAGGTGTCAACGGGATCTGAGGCATTCCGTCATAATGAGGCAGGGACCTAGGGCTTACTCTAAGGTCTCCACAGGGGATTCAGACATCCCTTCATGTTGGGAGATGCAAGACGAGCAGTATTCAAGCCACTGCAAGGAAACGCCGCCTCCTTTAAATTAGGGCTTCTCGCTGTATAATCCACTTGAGGCAGCAAACTCGGGGTCCCTACCACATACTTATTGCTTAAAGAAGCCTCCCCTTGAGGTGCTTCTGGAAAGTTGGCATACGTCTTGAGCCTAAACTAGGGAATCAGCTCTCATCTCGAGACGATTTGGGGTACATGGAACATTCCTCGAGTTGCTGTGCTGAAGTTAGTGTTCCTCTAGACTTGGGACAGTGTTCTCGGGGCATCTCTGGAGGTGCCTGAAGGAAGTCAAGAAACTGGTCGTTTTGAATGGGGAACGGCGGATGTCTCTGGAGTCAATGCAGTGGAATCAGGCCTCACCTCGAGTTGATTTGTGGCACATGGAGCTAGTTTGCGTTGCTGTAGTAACCTCAGGGTCCGTCTAGACTTGTGACAGTGTTCTTGGGGACTGTCTCGAGATCCATTAAGCAAGTCGAAGCTTCTGACTTGTTTGATGGGGATCATGAAATTGCTCTGCATGCCCTGCAGGGGAATCGGGCCTCATCTCACATCTAGGGGGAAGTCTCATGGTTTTTCTCGAGTTGCGGCGGGGACTTGTGGTATGTTATCGAGTTACAGGGGGATGGCCCTTCAAAACATGTGTTTATTCAGTGACGTAAGGACTCCTATCTAGTAACGAGGGACACTTCAGGAATCTCTTTGAGGCTTGGCAGGCCACAAGGGACACTTTTCGAGGTGAGTCAGGCCACCCAAGGACCCTTTCCAGTAGCCACATGGATTTTGGGATTCCTATCAATATTCAAGAGTAGTCAGGCATCGTCACCTTTTGAAGCAGTGAACTCTGCGTGCCTCTCGAGGTGTCAACGGGATATGAGGCTTTCCGTCAAATGAGGCAGGGACCTAGGGCTTTCTCTAAGGTCTCCACAGGGGATTCAGACATCCCTTCATGTTGTGAGATGAAAGACGAGCCTGTATTCAAGCCACTGCAAGGAAAGCCCTTCTCCTTTCTAGTTAGGGCTTCTAGCTGTATATTCCACTTGAGGCAGCAAACTCGGGGTCCCTCTGACATACCTAATCCTGAGAGAAGCCTCCCCTTGAGGTGCTTCTGTAAAGTTGGCATACGTCTTGAGCCTAAGCCAGGGAATCAGCTCTCATCTCGAGACGATTTTGGGTACACGGAGCATTCCTCGAGTTGTTGTGATGAAGTTAGTGTTCCTCTAGACTTGGGACAGTGTTCTCGGGGCATCTCTGGAGTTTCCTGAAGGAAGTCAAGCCACTGGACGTGTTTAATGGGGAACGGGGGATGGCTCTGGAGTCCATGTAGGGGAATCGTGCTTCATCTCGAGTTGACTTGAGGCACATGGGGCTGCTTTGCGATGCTGGGTTGACCTCAGGGTTCGTCTAGACTTGTGACAGTGTTCTTCGGGACTGTGTCGAGATCCATTAAGCAAGTCAGAGCTTCTGACTTGTTTGATGGGGATCCCGGAATTGCTCTGCATGCACTGCAGGAGAATCGGGCCTCATCTCGCATCTAGGGGGAAGTCTCATGGTTTTTCTCGAGTTGCGGCGGGGACCTGGGGTATGTTCTCGAGTTAGGGCGGGGATGGCCCTTCAAAACACGTGTTTATTCAGTGACGTCAGGACTCCTGTCTAGTAAAGAGGGACACCTCAGGAATCTCTTCGAGGTTTGGCACGGCACAAGAGACGCCTCTCGGGGAGAGGCAGGGCACCCAAGGACCCCTTCAAGTAGCCACAGTGATTTTGGGATTAATATCAATATTCAAGAGGAGTCAGGCATCGTCACCTTTTGAAGC